TCCCAGGACCCCTGGGTGCTCCCTGTTGTCCCTGGGCGCTTCCCACATTCCCAGGTGCTCCCTGGACCCCTGGGTGCTCCCGGCACCCCTGGGTGCTCCCTGGATGCTTCCCGGGTCCCTGGGTGTCCCCCAGGAGCCCTGGGTGCTCCCTGCATTCCCGGGTGCTCCCAGGACCCCAGGGCACCCCTGGTACCCCCTGGACCCTCCCGGGACCCCCGGGTGCTCCCCGGACACCTGGGCCCCTTCCAGGACCCGATCCCGACACCAAAGGCTGCTGATTTGGGGGAAAAGCCGGAATGGGGAGGGGGGGAGCGCCAAGGTGTCAGGAAGGGGGGCTGGGGAGCAGCCGCCTCCGACTGATCCCGGCCCAAGGAATTTCCAGCGGCCGCTGCCAGGCCGGGAGCGAGTGGAAAATGAGCCGCGAGTCTGGCCGGGGCCGCGGCACCGGCTGGCAAAGCCATTTGCGGAGCCGGCGCGGAGCCCGCACGGCGCGGCGGGATGGGACGGGATCGACGGGACGGGATGGGATGGGATAGACGGGATGGACGGGATGGGAAAGGACGGGATGGGGCAGGATGGACGGGATGGGACAGGATGGACAGGATGGGATGGGACAGACGGACAGGACGGGATGGGATAGACTGGATGGAACGGGACAGATGGACAGGATGAGATGGGATGGACGGGATGGGACGGGACAGGACAGACGGACGGGATGAGAAGGGACGGGACAGACGGACGGGATGGGATAGGATGGGACAGGACGTCTCCCCTGGCTCCCGCTTCCCAATCCTATAAATAACCCCCCCTCACCCGCAACATCCCGGAGCCGCCCAGGGGGGGCTAAAAATAGCCCCGGGTGGGACCGCGGCGGCCGCTCCCAGTGCTCCCAGTTCCCGCCGCCCAGTAGCTCCCGGTGCCGCGTGTCCCATTCCCGCCCGGAGCCCCTTGGAGTGCGGGAGCACCTCCCAGTGCTCCCAGTTACGACCTCCAGCGGCTCCCCGTTAACTAGATCCCAGGATTTCCCAGTTAGTTCTGCAGCTTCTCCCAGTATCTCCCAGTAACAGGCTCCAGCATCTCCCAGTTCTGACATCCCAGCAAATCCTGGGACATCCCCATAAATCCCAGTCTCTTCCGCACTCCCCATTCCAGCTTCCCAGTAGGTGCCAGTTCCAGCTGCAGCCTGGCTGAGTCTCCCAGTGCCTCCCAGTTGGGAGCTCTGGGATGTCCCTGTGCCTCCCAGTTGCAACCACCAGGACATCCCAGTGCCTCCCAGTTAGGAGCTCCAGGACATCCCAGTTGCCACCCCAAGACCTCCCAGTGCTTCCCAGTTCGGAGCTCCGGGATCTCTTCCAGCTGCAACCATTGGGTTGCAACCCAGTGCCTCCCAGTTAGGAGCTCCAGGACATCCTTCTGTGGCAACCATGGTGATATCCCAGTGCCTCCCAGTTACAGTGTCCCAGTGAATCCCACTGGGAATCACAACATTCCCAGTGATTCCCAGTTTGGAGCTCCAGGACATCCCAGTGATTCCCTGTCCGGAGCTCCAGGACATCCCGGTGATTCCCAGTCTGGAGCTCCAGGATATCCCAGTGAATCCCAGTCCGGAGCTCCAGGACATCCCAGTGCCCCCCAGTCCGGAGCTCCAGGATATCCCAGTGATTCCCAGTCCAGAGCTCCAGGACATCCCGGTGCCTCCCGTCCGCAGCCTCCCCGAGGCTCCCAGTCCGTCCCGCTCCCGCTC